AGACCTTTGGCCCACCAACCGCAAGTCAAGGACACAAGCCCATCCGCTTCACAAAAGGAAGAGTGATCAGTTCCTCCCCAGCGGACGACGCCTCATCCTTCTACCCCTGTCTCTTATACACATCTAGATGTGTATAAGAGACAGACCTACACCCATCCCCCATAGCCGACCACCTCAACCCTTCCTCGCTTATCACCTCCCTCATCCACTTGAGGGCCATAGGGGCCGCCAGGGGGCACACGAAGTCTCGGGTAGGGCCGGTGAAGAAGGGTCAAGGGCGATTAGGATGTGGGGCCTCTCGTGTCCTCTCTCTCCCACTTCCTCTCTTCCTCTCTCTCTCTCTCTCTCTCTCTCTCTCTCTCTCTCTCTCTCCCTCCCTCTCTCTTTCCCCTCCCTCCTTTTCCCAAGACCTTTGACTCTTGAGCTCTCCCCTCTGCCCCTCCCCTACATGGCACGTGACTAACCTCTACCCTCACCTGTAACATTGCCAGGGAACGAACGGCAAGGGATTTGGTCCTCACTTGGTGGAAAGCGAGGGCAAGGGGAGGGTTGTCGGTCCCTTGTGCCACCAAGAAGGGAAGGCACCAGACTGTTATAAGCCGCGGAAAAAGCGGAAAGGAGTGGTGTTTTTCTTGTGTGACGAGGTCAGTTTGACTCAACCATCCTCCCCGACTGCATGACTAAGATAAAGACATGGTTTGCTTGAGGGAAGGGAAAACAACCAAAGGATCATCGAAGGGCAAAGGAAGCTTAGGATTGTGGGAAGGGGCGTTGTGTTGACCCCAATGGGGATTGTATTTGGTCCATGCTTCGTGTGGTGTTGTGCAGGTGAGTAGCTCGGGATGGGTGTCGAGCGGGACTGGATCCGCCGAAAAAACTGGATAAGGGAGGGACTTAGACCTCGCATAAACTATGAATGCAGGATGGGTTTGACGGTTGGATGCTTGGATGAATGGTAGATGTCCGGATGCGGCTTGCATGGTGATTGAATGCAATGGCTCTCTTGAATGCAGTGTACGCCCGGAAGGACTAAGGGCGGTCTTGGATAGGTGAATTGAACACTAGTGACTCGAGCAAAAAAAATATAGCGGCTAGGGGTCCGGGCGAAATCACCCCACCCCGAGGATGCCGCAGGGGCGGTCTTGAGTCGCTAGGCTTAGTGAAAAGGTGTGTGGTCCAATGGATGACGCTTGGCCTACACACGAAATGAAGATAAACTCTCAATGAATTCCCCGGACTGCCTGTGTATTCGAAGGAGCTGTCTGGTCAGACGAAAAAGAATCAAGCAAACACCACGAGTGCCTAAAGAGCTACCATCGAGAGCGGAGCTACATCCCCCAATGCAAAGCCCTTTTGCAAAAGGCCCATCCCCATCCATCTCAAAGCACTAGGTGGGGATGCCCCTGGGACGAACGACCCGCGCCCTGAGCGCGAGCGTGGGCTGGTCGAGCCAAATGGGACCCGCAGTGGGGTCGACTCAGGCTAGAAAGTCCTTCAGAGTACGGCCCCTACAACGTCCCCAAGCTCAATAATGTTTTTGTAACGAGCGCGTAACATTCTCTATGCATCAACGTCCGTCTCGCAGTTGTATCGCTTTCTCACTGGAACTCCCAACTACTCAAGGGCTTCCCAACAACCTCCAATATTGTCCCAAGGGACCGAGGTAAAAGGGAGATTTTGGCGACGAATGTCACAAGGATCATTCGCCATGGCTTCCTCCAGGTGGGAGCTAGCAACACGTCAGGGAGCTTGAGCAGCTTGATGTCTCTTTCTCTCATCAAGTTGACTAGCATTGCCCCTTGGGGGGGTCTGACAACAGACATGCCTAGCAACTAGTCTTTCATTGTACGTTATTTCTCGCTCTCGACAATGTCTTGAAGCCTGCATTCGTAATCTCAAATCTACCTTCCCATTTCGTTGAGAAAACAGTCTCGAGCAGAAATCATTTTGGTTTCGTCTCATTTATTACTCTTAGAACATCCACAAACGATCTGCTTTTCGGTCCGCGAAATCCATGTCTTCGATACGATTTTTCTTCTCCCCAAGGTCCCGGCTTAGCCAAATCCACATGCATTATTCCCGGTTCATTATTCCCGGCTTTTCTCAGGTCCTGCCAATTTCGCATACATATCACCCCTTCGTCTTCCCTTGCCTCTTCTCTTTTAATTGACTTTCCATGCGCAAGGCTTGGTTTATCCCTTAGACATTTCTTTTCTAAGCGCCTTGTCATGCCCTTCTTTTCAAGCTCATGCAAGCCAATCACACAGCCATTCCCCAGCCTGCCAGTCCTTTTCTCAAGTCCATGCAGAGTCAATCATACCAGCTCTTTCCTTCCTGGTTGTCCTGCCAGACCCTTTCTCTCAAGTTCATGTCATGTCACTTGCTCAAGTCCTTTCTATCCTGGGCATCTTGCCAGGCCCCCTTTTCTCAGGCCCATGCAAACCCAATTACGAGTCTTTTTCTTTTCTTGGTGTCTTGCCAGACCCCCTTTTCTCAGGCCCATGCAAAGCCAGATACAGGTCTTTTTCCATGCGTATTCATTGGTAGATGGCACACCTTCCCCCCACTCAAAACGCAATGTCCCCATCGCGCGACTGGTTCTCACTCGGAGGTACGAGACCTTTGGCCCACCAACCGCAAGTCAAGGACACAAGCCCATCCGCTTCACAAAAGGAAGAGTGATCAGTTCCTCCCCAACGGACGACGCCTCATCCTTCTACTCGGTCCGACCTTTCTTCTCTTACGTGGCGAGCACCAATATTGAGGTTCCTCCTCACTTCTGGCAGGCAGGTCCAATCCAAGCCTTCCAGGGTCTCGTCTAGCCGTGAGAGCGTTCCTCGTGAATCGTTCCTCCCGAGAGGTGATTTTCTAGATCCGGCCTCTTCCTTTCAAGAGAGTTGGGGCTCTCAATTAGTCCGCGAGTGCAGTTACGAAGACCTCGCAATTAGTCCCGAAACGGTTGTAATGTTCCGGCAGGGCAGTGTCAATGCCCCGTGGTGGTGACGGACTCCACCCGGTACCTTCGCCCGGCCCCTCCCCTTGGACAGTGCTGCCCAACTTAATGCGGGCGGCCGAGGTCCGATCCAAACGACCATGGCACCCCTCTATGACATAGCGTGTGGTTGGAGAGTAGCAAAAATAAACTAGATGAGAATGACTCTCTCGCCCATTTGGCTCTCTCGCCCTTTGACGTTTAGGCATTCAACAGGAGGCGCAATTTGAACTCCCCGACTAGAGTTCATTGTCATAGGTGGTTCCGGACGGTCGACACCGATCCAAGTGGTAGGTGCCTTGGTCCTTTAACCCTCATCCTCTTAAAAGAGGAACATGTCGCGTTGAGACTTTTTCCCTTAAAGGGATAGAGGTCTTGGGGTCGCGGTGCGTGCACCGGTATCCCCCTCTTGATGAGGCCAAAAACTAGAAAAAAAGAGAAATTCATTTCAAAGCCATTTCCAAGTCCATTTCAAGTTGCCTAGGGTCCCCTGTTTATGCACTGCAATTTCCAATACTCAATCCAATTCCAATGCTCAGTCTCATTCTCATGCTCAATCTCAGTCCAGTGCTCAATGCAATATCTCTTCCAGGGCTGAGTCCAATATCTTTTCCAAGGCTGAATCCAATATCTTTTCCAAGGCTGAGTCCAATATCTTTTCCGAGGCTCAGCACTTCCCAATGTCTTTTCCAAAGCTCAGCTCTTCCAATATCATTTCCAAAGCTTAGCTCTTCCAATATCCTTTCCAAAGCTCAGCTCTTCCCAATGTCATGCATCTCAAGCAGCCATGCAAGGGGACCCCAGTGCCAATTCCAAAGAATGACCCTTGTCAGGGGCCATTTCGAACAACCTAGTTAGGGTCGCTCTTTCCAATTCCAAGTCGAACAGCCTGGTTAGGGCCATTCTTATCCATTGCAATCGGACAGCCTGCTTGAGACCATCCTTATCCATTTCAATTGGGCAGCCTGGTTAGGGTCATCCTTGTCCATTTCAATTGGACAGCCTGGTTAGGGTCATCCTTGTCCATTGCAATGTTAGCACCCGAGGGGGTGGGCCTCGAGGACACGGGTCCTATCTCGTATCGGGGATTAGAAGGCGGCCATCTTCTTGGGTTTTTACGCATGCTTCTTCCTTTTCATCATGCCATTTGTCATTCTTACATCCATCCATACATCCGACTTAGCTTCTAGTGCTCGAATTGGGGCTTGCATCCCCAAGCAGCACTAGCCCACCCGGCCGTTCAACCATTGCAAGGGGTGCTAACTCATTTCAATGTTCCCCCCCCTCTCTGACCTCTCATGGGTTCTCAGTGCACTAGACTCCTCAGGGATATGGTTGGATTAGGCTCCTAGGGAAGAGGATGCCTCTTTACCCATAGGTCCCCTAACCTCTCACAAAGACTCGTGCAACGACTCATTCAATCATGGATACACAATTCAGAAAGGAAAGCTTTGGCCATCAATTTTTCTTCCAACATTCAATAGTTCACATGCCCTTGCTTGCCTTTTCGAGGCAGAGTCAACCATCCCCAGTCCCTTCCTTACTACCAAAAAAACTTCCACTTTCCAAAAGGAGCGAGTACTCGTACAAAGTAGCACTAGCTACTCATCCCTTGCTAACTTTCCCAGTCAAGAAGTTGTTCTGTCGCAATCCTTCAAAAGCAGGAGACAAAGTTCGAATGCAAAAGATAACATTACAGACTTATCTCACCTAGACCCCGGTCCTTCATAGTCCCAGTCTCATACTCATCAACCCACATGTACTTCCGAAGAAGCCACTACTATTGGAAAGTAGCACTAGTTACCCAGTCTCTGGTCAATCTTAATCAAAAAGTTGTTCCATCGCAGTCCACTCAGAAAGAAAAGGTTCAAATGTGAAATTCAAAATGGCAGTTCCACCTGCCTGGGTGTCAACCCTCCCCCAATTTCTAGCTAACCCCCATTATGCCCACTATCCCTTTACTGTCCAGCTGCCYTGCGCYGAGCCTCTCTTGCACGATCYTCAATCTCTTGCTGCATTTGTCTCTTTATCCTTTGCAACTGAAGGAGTATCTCCTCTGTGAAGAAGGTTGTTGGGGATAAGTCCTCTCCCCTGCTCAACTTTTCCTTCCCCTGCATTGCCCACTGGTATCGCAAGATACTGGCCCATTGATCAAATCAGTCGCTGAAAGTCGGTCCAAACTCTCTTATCCATTTGTCCTTTTCTTCCCCCGGGTCCTCCTCTCTCTCCCGTACTTCCCTTGTGGGTGTTGTAACTTCGTCCTCCTCCTCCTCGCTGCTGAGGTCTATGACCTCGATGGGCTCCTCCTCCTCCAACCTCAGCCTTTTCCCTAGGTTCCCCTCTTCCTCACTACTAGTGTCATTGTCTGATGGAAGGACTATTGGTTCCCCCTCCCTCAGGGGCGACGGTCCCCTGGTCCCTTGCTTCCTCCCACCTCTGTTTACAACCAGATTGTGATCGAATCCCACATACAGCTTCCTCTTCCTGGAACTTGATTCCCCGGCCTGTCTTGTCGGCTGCTGCTCATTGGGCTGGTTGATAGCACTGCTGTCGTTCTCATTTCCAAACTCCATCTTGCCTTTTCTTGCTTTTCCTCTTCTTTCCTGGTCCTGTCCATACATAACAGTCACCACATCCCCTCATACGCACACATTCCATCCCACTCCCATTTGCAGCTTTGCAGGGCTCCCTAGGACTCTTGCTTGCCCCCATATAGTTGGTAGTCCCATTATCCCTTAGAACCCTTGACACATTGTCCCAGCGCATAGGTACCTCATGTAGACAGTCCCCAGAATTGCCCCGCAAAAGACTATGGTACATTGTCCCAGCACATAGATACCTCGTGTAGACAGTCCTCAGAGTTGCCCCCCAAAAACTATGGTACATTGTCCAATGCTCCCAACCTCGTTCATACTCAGCCCAGGCAGTTACTCATGTTCCACAGGAAAGGACACAAAAGAACAACCCCTGCAGTCATGATTACTTCCACAGGAAGGCGGTATAGACTCATAGCCAGCTGTCTGCTTTTCAAGTTGTCAATTCCCCTGTTTCCGTGTCCTGAGCCTCCTGTAACCATTGTTCCATTGGATCCCTGCTAAAAAACCTGACCAACCTCTGTCCCGGAAATGACCCTCTTATACTAGTACCATCAAGATCCTCAAGTTCGAACGTGTTCAATCCCACCCGCTTAGCGATCCTGTAGGGCCCTTTGAACCTCTTCCCTAGCTGCCCAGATCACGTGCTCTCAAGGGCCGAGTTCCTAACTAGCACCTTTTCCCCTACTTGGAGTGGTTCTTTTCGGATATTCTTCACCTGGTCCCATCTTGCTTTGTCCCTCATTCGGCTATCCATCACGCGCTTGACCACTTCTTCTAAGGCTTCCTCATTTCCAACGACCTGTTGGCAACGTGCGACAATTAACTCCTCCGTGGTCAAGTGCGGATCATTGTCTAATCTGTTCCAGGTAGGGACGAGGGCCTCTACTGGGAAGTCAATCTCCTTTCCATACCATAGCTCCGCTGGAATGCACCCCGTCGTTCTCTTTGGTGTCATGTTCTCAGAGAAGACTGCCTGCTTAAGGTACCGTGGCCAGTTTCCCAAATCATCCACTGCGAGCTTGGCGATTGTGTTCTTCAAGGTCCGATGCCCCCTTTCTACCGGTGCATTTGCCTCAGGGTGATATGGCTCAATGATTTTAATGGGTACGCACAAGGTCTTAAGCTTGCTCAATACCTCCTGATTGACGAACTCCGTCCCGTTATCTGCTATGAACCTGCGCACAAAGGGGTGTCTTAGGTAGAAATCCTCTATCCAATCGGCCACTCCCTTCCCTGTCTTTCTCTTGAGTGCTACCGCCTCTACGTAGCCACTGAGGTTATCCCTTGCATCCAGGATGTACCTGTATCCATCCGTTGACACTGGCATGACCGCAAGGTCGAGGTGGACTAAGTGCCCCGACCCTAGTACACGGGTGGGTCTAAGGGGCTCGAAGACACGTGCGGAACTCCTTTCCTGGCATATCAGGCATGTCCAGAAGTAGAGTGGTGCGATTTTCGCAAGGGTCCCTTTGAATGACCTATGGCCTCCAGCTAGTCCATCGTGCATTGCCTGGATTATATCTAACAGCCTAGACCTTCTGCACACGACTCGTCTAGGCATCATCCCCTCTTCCTTCTTGAACACGTGGCCGTTCCTTAAAACATACTTTTCGGCTTCCTCCCTTGCCTTGGGGCTGACTTTCGTGGGCTGTTTGTTTCCTATAAGCAGTAGGCCGATTTCCCTGAAGACGCCCTCATACATCTGTATGAGGAAGAATTCTCGTTCCTTCTGGTCGATATCCTTCTCCTCCTGAGCCTGATTCACCAGGTACTGCAGTTCCCTTTGCGTCCAGGATTCTGCTAAGGTCATCACGGCGTCCCGTCCCCCTTCACCGGCCATTGCCATCAGTTCCTCTTTAGGCCCAATCACTGCACCCCACGAATCCCTCTCATCTTTGCGCCTAATCGTAGTAACCGGTCCCTCCCTGAGTTCCGCAACTACCGCAGGCGCGCCCTTTTCCAAGGTATGGATCAGCAACTGACCAGTCGTGGCTATGGAGTCTGCCATCTTGTTATCCACAGCAAGGGTCCCTCCTTCGTATTCCAGGAAGGCGTCAATCTGCTCTGCGTCCTCTATGCCTTCCGACGTGATACATACCCTACTCAGCCCATCCGCCCTGTTTCGAAGCCCCGCAATCCGCTCGACCTTATAGTCGAACTACCATATGAAGCCTATCCATCTCCCAACGGTTGGGTCTATAGGCTTATAGTTCTTTAGTGCCCCGGCGACGTTGGTTGGATCGATCCTCGGGATAAACCGCCTCCCAAACAGGTATGCTTGGAAGGTCTTAAGACAATGTAGGATCGCTAAGACCTCTTTCTTGAACTGTGAGTACCGCCGTTCTGCCGAATTCAAGGTTCTACTTTCAAATCTGATTGGCCTTTCCTTGCCTTCCTCGCTTTTCTGTATCAGTACTCCTCCAACTGCCAGCGGTCCCCCATCTGTTTCTAAGATGAAGGGCCGTCCTACCTCGTCATTGAAACAGGGTGCTGCTAGAGTGACCTGATCGAAAGACAGAATGTCTTTGAGGGTCTGGGCCGCCGCTTCCCTATCTTCGGTCCATTCCATAGTGCCACCTTCTCTAATCATCGTGCGGATAGGCTCTGCTATCTTTGCGAATCCTTTGATGAAGATCCTCCAGAACCCGACCACCCCTAGGAAGGCTCGTACTTCCGTCGTGGTGCACAGGGGTGTCGGCCACTGGGAGATCTTATCTGTCTTTGCTGGGTCGGGTCTCCTCCCATAAGCCCCACAGCGAAATCCCAATATGGTTACTTCCGGAACGGCCAGGATGCTCTTTTGTCCGCTTGCGGTAATATTATAACTCAAAAACCGCTGGAGTAGGTCCTTGATATCCTGCAGGTGGTCCCAGACAAACTTTCGTATGCCCGACTCGGCTTCTGTCTCATCTTTGTCTCGCGCGCCTTTTAGAGGGTTATCGTCTATATATGGCTCGCATTTTTCTGGGAACATGTCCCCTGCTACGGCAAGCATCCTCCTCTGCGCCTCTGCCACCGCATTCGTGAAACCCATAGGGGTCACTTGCATTTGCAACTGCCCTACTGGTGTGTGCATGGCAGTATACGGTTTATCCCTTGCGTCGAACGACAACTGGTCATATCCCGAGTATAGGTCTATCAGGGAGTAAATACTTCGTCCAGCATGCGATTCAGCCAGCAAGTCCGCCTGTGGGAGCGAACCCGCGTCCCTAATTGTTACCGCATTGAGCTTCTGCAAGTCCTGGATCCACCTGAGCGTCTTGTTGGGCTTCCGGAAAACGAACCACTTATTCGCGTAGGGGGATGCGGTGGGTTCAGCCACGAATGAATCTATCTTGGCTCTAAGCAGGTCCGTGACCTCTGCCGCTATCCCAAACTCATAGGCACACCCTTTATCATTCCAACACTCATGCTCTACCGTGTGGATCCTAACAGGGGGAATTCATTTCGCATCTAACCGTCCTTTCTGGTGATCATTGAAGGCAAAGGCTAGATGAAACTCTTGGCACGCCCTCCTTATCAACCGAGTTTCTTTTGTTGTTAAGAACCCTTCCACCCCTATTTTCATGGTTTCTGCTACTTCATCCGGTATCCGATGCCCTTCCATTGCTCGCCTTTCCCTTATTATCCGCAAAACTTTTTCTTCATTCCCCATGGCCTCCTCCCTTCATGTTTCTATTAGGATCGAGACCGGCTTGGCCTTCTTGCCTACGGGCTTGTACTTTCGCACATCGCCTTCGGGGATCGTTCTTTTAAAAAATGAACGGTCGGAATCGGCCTTGCTACCTCCAGGACGCGGGGCTGGATGCTGACTAGCTTCCCATTCAGACAGTAGCCCTTTCAGACCCCGTCTTCGAATTTAGCAAGCGCTGCGGGGTCCACCCCCACCTTGTGATACCTGATGGCCTTAACGAGTTGTAACAAGTCTGGGATTTCAAGCACCACTTCTGTCATTTCGTTCCGGCCTTCCTTTGGTTTGGGCAGGCTGGCCCCAAGTTCGACTTCCGATTCTTTTTCTGCCACCATAACTTCCAGGGCCTCGTCCTCTTGCCTCCTCTTCTTCATAGGCAGACCCATCTTGATCCACTCCTTCTTGCTAAAGGCTTCTTCAATCATCATCTCTACTCTTTCCCTCATTCCTTCCATTCGTGCGAATGCCCCCTTCCGCGCACTCTCTTTGAATGTTGGCGACCAGGTTGCCAATTTGCCCTTTGGGGGGTCCCCTCCAGTCCCAAGAAGTCGAAGGAGTTCTCCGCGGCCGGTCACTGGGTCCTCTATGTCTACCATGTATGTGCCGTCATGCAGATGCATTCCTATCATTTCTACATTGGCGCACCACGGTCTCCCGAGGATTATGTCGTGATCCATTTCTTCCATCACGGTCATTCGATGAAAGGACCAGATGGATTCCCGGATTCCCGCCTTGACTGCACATTTGGTGACATACCCCGTGAAAGGAATTTCACCACCGGTTCCCCGGATACTCCCTGCTACTTCCTTGTTTACCGTGCACCCCGTGACTGTTGCGAAATCTCGTCGTATGAGGGTGATTTCTGCACCGCCGTCCACTAATGCATCTGTGTGGTGGGTTCCGATTTGGACCTTCAGCTTTCCTACGGGCAAGGCATGGAAGCTAAGCTTCGTCCCGGGCGGCGCCCTCATGACTTCACCCCCTTCTCGGTCCGGTAGGCTTAGGCGGATTTCCAAGTCCTCCAGATCTCCGGGAATTCGTTGGAGGTTGGAAACCCCTTGCGGCGTGTCGGGCTCTTCTGTTTCCTGCTCCTGTGGTTCCGGGGCCTCCTCTACCTCTACGCGCTTGCGCGTTAGCAACTGCATGAGTCCTTTAAGCAGCCTTGGGCTGGCTTGCAGCATGGTCGGGAAGGATACCGATACCATGGTACCTAGTAGCTGACTCAGGGTGCCATCGATTTCAGGCGATCGGAATTTGATACCTGAACTTCTTCTTTGCCGCCGCAACTTTCTCTATCGGCTCCTCTTCCCTTGCCTTCCCGTAGACCTTCTCTTGTTCCCCGGTCTCAGTCTCTTCCTGATCTGCACCAGTTCCAGCAACCTCTTCCATTACCGTGTCTCGAATAAGCTTCTTTTCCGCACCGGGCCGTCGGGTGATGATGTTTACCCTATCCTGCCCATTGCCCTCTAGGATGAAATTGGCCTGTGGCCCACGTCCCCTCGGTTGGTCCCAGACAATATCGGCTACCGGCTCTACTTCTACGGCGGCTATATCCAAGTTATTCAGGACGATGACGGCACACCGCATTCCTCCTGGCGAATTCCAATTTACACGCTCTCCCTGGGGCCCGAGAATCTCACCCTTAAGGGACCTACTGCATCTCTGTCTCATGATATCATGGTTGAGTCTTGGGCAAGTCCACACGAAATGTTCGACCATTGTGCAATACCTGCATTGCTCATTGGACGGATCCCTTCTGCCATACCCTCGATTCGCCACTGTTGCCGGAACTACGGCCTCTTGGGGCGGGAGGGCGGGGCGGGACACCTGCGCCTGCATTACTAATAGCGCATTTTCCATTCTTTCCATCTTGCTGTCAACCCCGTGCACTCGTTCGTGCAAAACTATCCCCTTCTTGACCTTATCCCCTGTCTTCCCAGTCAAGTCTATAACCTCCCCTTCCTTAAGCAGGGCTAGCGTATCGGTCACCACTGTCTGTTCTGTGAGGTTTGTTACCGTGCTGAAGTCCACATCCCTCGTGTACTCGAACTTGCTAGTCTGCTGGTAAGCTGACAGAATCTTATCTTTGTCGAACTCGGAGAACTGCCTAAGGAAGTACTTGCTCATTATTCGATCCGTTAACCCAGGGATTCGCAGTGCCACTAGAGTGAACGCCCTCAGAAAGTCACTGTAAGTAGCATAGTTTTTCCTTTGGACCGCTGCCAATTCAGCCTCTGTCGCCATTTTTTCCGCCTTCAGGTACTTTCTCATCATCTCATTCCGGGTTTCCTTCCAGGACCCACTAGAGGAGACGATAGTCATAATGTCCCTTCCTAAGCTCAACGATACGTGCTGCCCTAGGTGGTCCATCTTTTCTTCCTCAGTCCATATCAGTAAGGCTGCCAGGTTCTCGTAATCTATCAGGAATTCCGTGATGTTTGTCCCATCGAAAGTGAGTTTCTTTTTTGCGTCTGCGAGATACCCCTGATTCTTATTCTGAGCCCGGGTGAGGGTGGCTAACTAGTGTGCTCTAATCAATCGATCATGACTAATCAGCTACCTAGTCCCTGCACATGTGTCAGATCAGGTTGTCCTAATTCACGTGCGGTGTTCCGATTCCAACTGTTACCTACCCAGTTGGGCGTGTACATATATAACCGAGGATCCACAATGTGATAAAAAGGACTGAATGGACAATGCAGTGCAAGTAGAATCTCAACAGGCAGTGTGCATTCTGATACATACAAGAATTGTGCTTTATAGCGCAATGCAAGACTTAGATACTAGTCCTGACCTGACCAGGACTGACCTCCTTCACGTAGTACAAGATAGCGCAGCAGAATGCTAGAATACCAATGACGAACCCAATCAATGTTGGACTGCAGACTAAACATACATCATCTTCATCACAAGGTGTGAAGGGAGCCTGGCGCTACACACAGCAAGAATGCGCCAGGTCCAGATCATGCACAGACGAAGAGGAGGGGAACAAATGAAGAAGAGGAGGGGGGAGATGGGAAAGTCGTCAACACCAAGTCTTCGTTACAAGTCCCAAATAATCCCTCGTCAGAATGTCTGAAGCCCAACGTCGAGTCTGGATCCAAATGTCACCAAGCTCTCTCTCTCTCTCTCTCTCGTTGTCTGCTGATGCAGTGAATTCAGATAGCGAGAGGGTGAGAGGGAGATGGTGGACTGAGACGTGGAAGAAGAACTCTCTCTCTCTCACGTGCCAGGTACTAACCTGTGAAGTTGGTGGTGTGCTGCAGGTACCTCGAAGACGAAGCTGGAGCTATGGCGCTGCAGGTGAGTCTCCCTGGCCTCCGCCCAATCTCTCTCGCTCTCTGCTACTACTCTAGCTCCTACTAGCGCCCAGCGCTGGAGACTACTGCTAACGCTACTAGCGCCCAACGCTGAAGACTACTGCTAGCGCTACTACTACTACTGCAGCGCTCCTCCAGAGTGCTGTTGCCGAATCCTGATGACTACCTCCTGACTCCTGAACTGCACGTGAAGTGCCTGGGAAGTCCCTAGGAACTACCTGCCGGCCTGCAGGGCGGGCCAGTCCTATATAGTGCTGGCCCGTCCAGGAGGCTGCTCTTGCCAATGTCGAAATGTGCCAGACCCTGGCGTTGAAGCTCAACCAGGGGTTGTCTTGAAAACAGGCCCAAAATGGCCTGTGCTAAAACCCTGGTTTGGTGCCTGAGTTTCAGGGCGAGTCGATCTGATGAGGGCCTTAAAATGGCCCTCAGTTTCAGGCTGAAGAGGCTCAGGGCCGAAAAGGCCCTGATTTAGGCTGAAACGACACAGGGCCTGTAGGCCCTTGTTTTCAGGCTTTCAGGCTGAAACGACACAGGGCCTGTAGGCCCTTGTTTTCAGGCAAAAGCCTGAAAACCTCACGGGCCTGAAAATGGCCCATACAGCCTGTTGCAGGCGCAGCATGTAACAGCCTCCCAAGCAACCGGTACCTCCTCCCTTTCGGAGGGAAACATCATTGCAGACTCTGATATTGCCCGTACACGCCCTAGAGTCAGACTGGATGGTCTGGTACCCGTCTAGACCTAGCCTACCGCTACTGGGCCTCTAAAAATGTCAACTTTGTCTTCCTCTGCTCGGCCTAGAGTACCCAGCACATCTACTTCTATTGGGTGTTGCTGCGGGCCTCTTGCTCCGCCACTTGAGTGTTTTCCCTGCTGCAACCCTCAATGTCACGACCACAGGTAAGTACCGGCCCTACGGGCCTCCCAAACAAGCAAGTACCCTTGCGGGTCACACACACACTCATGCCGACAAGCACTCAGACAGGCACGCAGGTCATCAAACACGCACACACAGACTTAGAAAACTCAGCAGAATGCGGGAATCTCAGCAAGGCGTCCATTCCATCGGCAGAACTCAGAAATCAGCAATGTTCTCAGTCCGTGTTATGGCGGGTCATTACGCAAGCTTGGGGCTGATTCATCTTCAAAAGAAGATAAATTCAGTCAAATGCGAGGATCTGAGTCCTCGGCAGGCCTAAGGGGCCCCACTTACAGTGGTGCCCGCCCTAAGTGAAGGCGGGCCTAACATTTCACAAAAGGCCTATGACTGTCAATTTCATATTTGGGGTACAGGCAGTTGCGACGCGCCAGTTGGTTGAGAGAAACACAGGCCGAGCAACAAAGACATTTCCAAGGCCTACCGGGCCTTTCCAAAGAATGCAGGCCCTGGGCGTGAATCGCAGCCTCATACATTGACAGTTGGGAGGCCCAACCGAATGAGGCCCAAACGCTGCAAGTAGCACGCAGCATCCTGGGGGCTACCGGAAGCTCCTGTGCCCAGGCCAATGCAGCCAGGCTGCGCAAGCAGGCCAGCTCTTTCCATAAAGGAAAGAGCTCTCCCCTGGCATTGGCATTCGGTCACTTGCTGGCTGGCGGCAGTGCTGCTGGAGCAATTGCTCGCGGGCTGGCTGCCGGCATTGGAGCAAGAGGCTTCGCACGTGCGGTCGTGTGTGGGAGCAGGGCGCTGCTGAGGGCAGCGCCATAGCCAGCCTTCATAGCGGGCTGGGCTTGGAAGCACAGTGAGTCGCAGGGGTGGTCTTCGGGTGTAAGTGAGGACAGGTGTGGGTGTCAAGTCAGGGAAGGGCGAAGGAGGATGATGATGATGATGATGTGAGGGCACATACCTTGCATTGGCGATGGTCTGCATAAGGGCGACATCTTCAAGTACTTCGGGTTGCCGCTGATGTCAACAGTTGCATTGTCTACTAGTAGGCTGATCGTAGCTGTGTAGAGTAGGCTGGGCGCTGAGCGCCAAGTAGGAGTGTGAAGGGACTGGACTCTTGTGTTGTGGCGGAGAGAGAGAAGCTCTTCTTGACATTGGTTTTCAGTACTATGAACCTCCATTGGTGTATTGTTGGTGCAATGCTGCTCTCTGGACACAGTGTGACTATCTGGCTTTCGATGTGATGGTTTAATCTCGAATTTGTCATCTCGCTGTTGCTTATTTTCCTTGCACAAATCAACAATCTGTCTATCAGTGGTGCCCGGACCTTAGCAAATCCTTCCTCAAGCACAGGTGATGTACAGGCAAGTCAAGGTGATCAGCTGAGGATCCATAGGGTTAGTTGGACATTTGACAAACTTAGGCAGATTCTGTTTTTGGAGCCTACAGGGGCGTTTGCCAGAACCCTTAGGAGAGGGGGACCTTTGTCTCTAAATCTGATTGGCGCCCTTGATGGCGCTTAACTGTTCCTGAGCCAAAGTCAGAAAAGCCTGGTCTGGGAAGCCGCCTGCACCTTGACCAGCTGAGGGAACCAATCCTCTCTGGTCAAAGTCTGCAAAGACTTCCTTCTCCATCATGTGCCACGTCCCTTTACTCTTCCTCTGACTTTGAGAAGGGGAGGTGCTTCCCTTTCGGGAAGTGGACTGGATCTGGATTTTGGCCTCCAGATCCAAGGCTGCTCTGCCAAAGGCCCTCCAGTCCTTGTGGCTTGTAAGTAGGGTCTGTACATAGGTTACAGGGGTAGCCTAGATAAACAACTGAAATTTGTCCTGATCTGACATCAATAACCCAAGGGTAGAGGTTAGTCTTTCCCAAACTGCATAGAGCTTGGAGAGGGATCCCTGCCATTGTGACTGGCCTAACCTCACACGCTCTGCAGCAGCTTCCTTGGCTCTCTCTCGATTGGCGAATCTCTCCTCCAAACCCTTAAATATCTGGTCCAATCCTGTTGTAACAGCCCAATCGGCCAGCTGTTTCTGGGCCTTATTGGCCTCAAAAGTAGCCCGCTGAAGTGCAGGCCCTCCCAAGTGGGCCACAGAGGACTGCACCTTGGTAACCTCTGGGCAAGTGAGTTCCTTGAGGTACCATCTCATTGAGGCAGTCCAATCTGCTACATCCACTTTGGGGTTATCCCCGATGAATGTGTTAGGTTGTACTGTCTTGGGGTGCATCGATGTCTGCCGGCTTGAGCCTGCAGTCACTTTTGCACCAGGAGTAACAGGGTGCCCAACCACAAGCTGCAGAGGCTGCACCTTTGAAGGTGCAGCTCATCTGCTCTTGGAGCTACTCACTTAGGATGATGCAGCAGCTGACCGTGCATGGGAATGGGGTGTAACCTGGGGTGTAGGAGTAGGTGTAGGGGGGAAATAGGAGGAGGAGGAAGACGCAGACAGATGTCTGCAGAAAATCTGTAAAATAAAAAAGGGAGGACAGTTTGGTTTCGATGTTGGACAGTCTGCCCACCATCGAAGTCGTCACGTCTTCCCAGGAGATGTGCCCCTTGCTGTTCGCTTGCAGGTTCTGGATTCTACCACCTCCTTTTTCAACCTCTCCATTTTTGAACGCAGGACCTGCTCCTTCAGCTAGGACTGGATCTGCTCCTGATCCAGATTCAGATTCTTCCCCACCACAGCCTCAGCCAGTGCAAAGGGGAAGGATAAGGGACGTCGACCTTCCTCTTCCCAGCGCCCTAACCTGCCGAAAGACGTCCGGATGCCAGCTGACCCTCTCAATCCCTCCACACTCCCCTGGCATGACCTCAAGATCCAGGAGGGAGTCTGGAGAAGACGCAAGGAAAGAGGGGTCTGCCTGAGATGTGAGGGACAACACTTCTTGAAGGACTGCCCTTACATGCCAGGCCCAGGTCAGTCAAAAAACAGAAACAGACCCTGGGGACTGCAGTTCCCCCCAGTGCTGCACCTTCATCGACTCAGGTAGGTGAATCTGCAGTTGTTTCAATTGAGACTATATGTGAGGATGTTTGTTTGGGGACTGCGCGGGCAGCATCCTTCTGCTATGAGGATCCTGACCTGGATCAGGACCCGGGGCAGGATGAGCTCCAGTCACTTGCAGCCTTCTTCCTTGACTTGAAGGAACAAAAGAAGTGCAAGTCTGATCTCATCATGCTTCGGCCCCTGATCAACCGCACCAGGATCACTGGGCTATTGGACTGTGGAGCCACCAGGAACTTCATGTCTCCTAGTGCAGTTAA